GGGGGTCAGACTCCCCAGCTGGGGTTGTGGGGGCCCCCCCACCCTCCCCTGTGCCCTCAGGGCTGCATGAACAACGTCACCTTCGGGAACGAGCGGGTGGGCTACTACGAGACGGTGGCGGGGGGCGCGGGGGCCGGCCCGCGCTGGCACGGCCGCAGCGGGGTCCACACGCACATGACCAACACCCGCATCACCGACCCCGAGATCCTGGAGCAGCGGTGAGCACCGGGGGGAGCACGGGGGGCGGCTGCCGGGGCCCCACCGGCACACTGACCCCTTGTGTCCCCGTCGTGTGTGTCCCCCCCACCCAGGTACCCCGTGGTCCTGCAGCGCTTCGAGCTGCGTCGGGGCTCAGGGGGCGCGGGGCGCTGCCGGGGGGGTGACGGGGTGATCCGGGAGCTGCTCTTCCGCGAGGACATGGTGCTGTCGGTGCTGAGCGAGCGCCGCGCCGTCCGTCCCTACGGCCTGCGAGGTAAGCGGGGCCCCCCACAGCCCCCCAACGCCCCCCATCGCCCCTTGATCCCCCCCTTTTTGCCGGTTAGGGGGCAGCCCTGGCGCCCCGGGGCTCAACCTGCTGCTGCGCCGCGATGGCCGAACCATCAACCTGGGCGCCAAGACGTCAGTGCCGGTGGAGCCGGGGGTGAGCGGCACGCACGACCCCCCCCGCCATGCTCCCCCCAGCACCCCGGCACCCCCTGATGCCTCATCTTCTCCCCGGTGCAGGACGTCTTCCGCCTGCAGACCCCCGGCGGGGGCGGCTTCGGCTCCCCCGGGGAGGGGGGGGACCCCGAGGAGGCCGCCGAGCCGCCGGCACCCCGGAGCTTCGCCGAGCGCGGGAGCGTCTTCGAGTACCGGCGGGCGCAGGAGGCCGTCTGAGGGTCCCTGCCCCCCCGAACTGCGGCCATGGGGCGGCCCCGGCCCCAGCTACGCACACCCCGTGGGGCAGCCCCCCCACCCCAGGTATGCACAGTCCATGGGGCAGCCCCCCCATTCCTAGATGCGCACAGTCTGTAGGGCAGCCCCCCAATCTCAGATACGTACAGTCCACGGGGCAGCCCCCCCAACTCTGGCTATGCACACCCCAAGAAGCATCCCCCCCGGCTCCCAGCTATGCACACTCTGTGGGGCAGCCCCCCCCCATTACTAGATACGCACAGTCTATAGGGCAGCCCCCCACCCTAGCTATGCACACTCTGTGGGGCAGCCCTCCAACCTCAGATATGCACAGTCCATGGGGCAGCCCCCCCCATTCCTAGGTACGCACAGTCTATATAGGGCAGCCCCCCCACCCCAGCTATGCACACTCTGTGGGGCAGCCCCCCCATTCCTAGATACGCACAGTCCATGGGGCAGCCGCCCCCCCCCAGCTATGCACATTCTGTGGGGCAGCCCCCCATTCCTAGGTACGCACAGTCTATAGGGCAGCCCCCCACCCCAGCTATGCACACCCCAAGGGGCAGCCCCCATCTCCACACCTCAGGCTCCTGCCCCCCCCACCCCAAGGGGACCGGAGGGTCACCCCACCGTGGGGCAGAGCTCAGGCTTTCGCAGTGGGGCAGCCTCCCCCCCCGCCCCCGGCGCTGCCCCTGGGTTCCCACGCTTGTGCCTCACTGCACCGGGGCCTTGGCCCCTCCATCCAGGGGCGGCCGAGCCCTGGGTGTGGGGGTGTCCCCCCACCTCTGCCCCGCTCCTCCCCAGCTTGGTGCCTTCCAATAAACGAGCCTTCGGGCCCTTCCCACACGGCTGTGTGCGTGGCGGGGGGGGGTGTGCTTGGGGGGCGGTGTCTGCCAGGCAGCCCCTGCCCCAGGGGGTCCCCAGGGAGCAGAGCCCAGGGATCCTTGGGGAATGGTCCCCAAGGGTCCCTATGGAATGGTCCTCAAGGTCCCTGCCGTGCAGGTCCTGGGGTGCCCCCAGTACCCCCCTCCCATCCCAACAGGGCCCTCTCACTTTGGGGGCTGGTGTGGGGCTGGAATGGGGTTAAGGGCACATGTGGGGCTGGGCATGGCTCCTGGGGGGGCTGCAGAAGTCGTGCCCAGCCTGGGGCTGGGGGACCTGCTGCCCTCCCCCCCCCAGCTGCAGCACCCAGTGCAGTAGCCAGCACCCCATACAGCATCCGATGCAGCACCCAGCACCCTGTGCAGCACCCAATGCAGCACCCAGCACACTGTACAGCATCCAGTGCAGCACCCAGCACCCAGTGCAGCACCCAGCAGTACACTGTACAGCACCCAATGCAGCATGCAGCACCCTGCACAGCACCCAGCACAGCACCCAGCACCCCATGCAGAACCATGTAGGATCCAGGGCCTGGATGGAGTAGCTGCCGTTGTGGAGGCTGGGGCCCGGGCCAGTCTCCACACCCCCGGGGTTGGGGGCCCGGCATGGGGGGGTCTGTGCAATGGTGGCGGTCGCCTTCCACACACTGCTGAGGCCCTCTGCAATTTGGGGCTCCGTGCCACGGTGCGGGGGAGCCCGCCATGCCTTCATGGATGCACCCCCATGCCGTGGTGACCCCCACACTGGGGGACCCAGGGTGCTGACGGCCCTCGGTGACCCGGTGAGCGCCGCGGGCAGCAGTATGTGTTGCCATCCTCACCCACCCCGTGAAAGGGGGTCCCCCACAGGGATGCACCACAGGGTAGGGTGGGCGGTGTGACGGTGAGTGGGTCCGGGGGGTGGCCATGGGGCAGCCCACAGGGTACAGAGGGGCTCTAAGCTGAGGGGGGCACCCCCCGTCGCTGCCAAAGGGCCCTGCTGAGCCCCAGGCCAAGGGCAGCCTAGGGAGGGGGCACCGGCCAGCTGCACCCCAAGACCCTCCTGCCCCCAAAGCCCCACTGAGCCCGTGGGAGCTCTGCCCCACGCGCCTGGGCTGGCTCCTCTGCCCTCCCCCCCTGCAGTGGGGACCGCCCCACCCTGTTCAGGGGGTCCAGCCGCACCATCGCTCCCCCCTACCCCAGTCCCTGCCCTGGCAATTGGGGGGGCAGCCCCCCACACACCATGGGACCGATGCCGGTGCAGCTCCAGGCTTTTATTTCCCTCCGGTTGTTAAAACCGCGGCTGGCGCCAGCACTGCCAGACCGCTGCCCTGCCCGCCGCGGCACCGAGGGGCTGTGATGGTGGGCACAGCCACACACCGCGGCAGCCCCACCGCGTCCGACGGGACACCGGCACACGTTGGCGCAACTGACTCACATAGGGTCCAGGAGCTGTCCCTGTGGGGTTCCAGCACCCCACTCCTGTGCCAGTGGGCCTAGAACCCCCCTGAGGTGCACCTGGTGCCAGCTCTTGGGCCAGGGGGGATGCGCCGGGTGGACGGCTGCAGCTATCGCGCTGGCAGCTCAGGGGGACGCGGGGGTCACGTCGAGCCGCAGGGCCACGGGCAGGTGGTCGGAGCGAGTGGCTAGCTGGGTGATGAAGGAGACCCCCGCCACCTCCTGCCGGGGAGAGGGGCCGTCAGGGCGGGGGGACGGGGGGGCACGGGCACCCCCAGCCCTGCCGCTTTGGCACTCACCGTCTGCAGCGGCAGGGTCCCGTGGTGCTGGCGGTAGAGGACGTAATCCACGCGCCGGCCCTGCCAGGGGCCGGGGGCTGCCGGGTCGGGTTGCCCGCTGGAGAGGATCGGGCCCGCCAGGTACTGCTGCTGTCCCGCCGGCTGCGAGAGGGTCCTGCAGAGCGGGGACATGGTGGCACGGGGATGTGGTGGCATGGGGATGCGGTGGCACAGGAACATGGTGGGATTGGGACATGGTGGCATGGGGATGCGGTGGCACAGGAACATGGTGGCATTGGGACATGGTGGAATAGGGACATGGTGGCATGAGGACATGGTGGCATGGGAACAGGGTGGCACAGGGACGGTGTGGTGGCATGAGGCCACGGTGACACAGGGACATGGTGGCATGGGGATGCGGTGGCACGGGGATGGAGGGACCCCTGTTGGCGGCATCACCCCCCTCTCCGGGCAGGGTGGCTTGGCTGGAGCATCCCCTTTCCCCACCCGGTGGGCTTTCCCGCGGGACCCCAGGCCTGTCCCCCCCTGTCCCCCCAGCCATATCCCCACCCCTGTCACCTCTTCAGCTTCTCCGGGGTGGACACGGGCTCCTCATAGATCTTCAGGTAGTTGAGCAGGGTGCCTGCGGATGGGGATGGGGATGGGCTGTGAGTGGGACCCCTGCCGCGTCCCCCCCACTCGGGGCTGGGGATGAGGGTGCCCCGGGGAGGGGGGCGAAGGTGGGGGAGGGCAGGTCCCACCTATGGCCCAGGGTGCGTCCTGCCCGGGCCCCCGGCGGCAGGGGTCCTGGTACACCTCGAAGAGCCGGTGCCTCTGGTTGAGCTCGTCACCTGCAGGGAGGGGGAACAGGTCTCCGCCGTCACTCCCCACCAAAAACCGCCTGCCCCCCCACGGCCAGCCCCGTCCCCACCTCGGGAGCAGTTGTCGAAGTTGAGGTCCCCGCAGAAGACGTCGAAAGCCACCACGTCCCCGCGCTGCTCCTGTGCCTCCCGGAACTGCTGCAGCCAGTGCAGCCCCAGCGTCAGCTGCGCATCCCGGATGGCGGCATCGCCTGCGAGGGGTGGTGGCAGTGGGGGACACACACACACACATGGCATCACCGCGTGGCACCAGCAGCGCCGGCACCCCGCTTCGGCAGCGGCGGGTTGAAGCGCGGCCCCCCCATCGTCTCCCTCCTCACCTGCGGGTGCCTGCAGGTGGGTGCAGCCGATGTAGCCCACGATCCTCTGCCCCTGCGCCGAGCCCAGCAGCACCTGGGGGGACACGGGACCCTCAGCGGGGAAATCCGGTGGGAGCAGGCAGCACCCTGCCTGCTGCCACACGGCTGGGGGAAAGGAAGGGGGGGGTGTCCCCAGCTCACCTGGACGGCGAGCAGCCCCTTGGCGGCCAGGGCATCCTCGCGGGCGCCGTTGGGGAAGCCGTGGTACTGCACAGCTAGCAGAGGGTAGCGGCTGGCCAGGAAGAGCCCACTGTTGAGCACCTTCAGTTGGCCGCCCCACAGCCCGCGGGCACCCACCTCTGAGATGATGTGCGGGAAGGTGCCACCCAGCCACCGGCGCAGACAGGCAGCAGCGCCCGCCTCGAAGACCTCCTGCAGGCAGACGAAGTCGGCGTCTGCCGGGAAACGCTCGGACAACACCGCCAGCACAGGCTCGGCCGCCTCCGCCGGCACGCTGCCGGGCGGCTGCCACGGGGTGTTGAGGGTTCCGCCGTAGCTATTGGTCTCGCCGTGCCGCGGCTCAACGAGGCTGGCCCGGGCGCTGGGGGGGTCCGGTGGTGCCAGGGCGAGGTGGCGGGCGATGTAGGTGGCACGCTGCGGTGTCTGCCCCAGGTTGCTGAACTTGGCCAGGCCGCTGGGCAGCAGGCAGACGTTGGCGCTGATGAAGGTGAAGGACCGGCGCTGCCGTAGGTCCCACGGCTCCGCCGGCGCCGTACCTGCCGTGTACTGGTAGGCAAAGGGCCGTCGTGCCGCCTGCACCGGCAGCCACAGCAGCAGCCCCAGCAAAGCCAGGGGCAGCGAGAGCAGCAGCAGCGTGCTGTACGCCAGCCCGGCCAGTGCCTGACTGGTGCAGCCGCGGCACGACCCGCACCGCCTCTGCCGCTGCCGCCTCCGCTCGGCCGTCGTCTGCTGCAGGTCAAGGAGGCGGTTGATGACCCAGAAGCTGGGGGCCAGCAGCCCCGAGGCCAGACTGTCCAGGGCCACCAGCGCCCGGCTGGAGAAGGGGGACTCCCTCAGCAGCATGGCCAGGGGGGGCTGGGATGGCGGGGGGCCGGGCAGGGGGCTGAGGGGGATCGTGACGTCCCCCTGCTCCTGCCTGGGAGCTCCGGTGCTGCCGGCACGACCTGTGGGAGAGAGACCCCGGGTCAGTCAGGGGTGGTGGGGACAGTGCAGCCGGGAGCGGGACACCCCCCCCCATCCCATCCCATCCCGGCCACCCCGGCCGAGCCGCCACCGTGGGAACTTCCCACGGCCAGGACCATCCCACGCGTCCCCGGGGATCGTCCCACGCATCCCAGGGCTCTGCTGGGAGCGGAGCGAAAGCACCTGCAGAGTGTGTGTGTGGGTGGGGGTGGCAGGGCTGAAGTGGGGCTGCTGGCCCCCGCCATGTCCCTGCAGGGTCCCTGGGACCCCCAAAGCCTCCTCAGGCAAGCACAGCTCGGGGGGAACCCTGGAGCCGGGACCCTGCACTGAGCCCGGTCCTGCCCGGTGGCCCCGGCACCAGCCGCCCTCGCCACCTGCACCGGCTCCCGTCCCCCGCCGTAGCCCCACGGCTGCTCATCCCCAGGACCACCCCGCAGCCGCCCGCTCACCTGCCCGCCAGGCTCGGGGTGGGGGTCAGGGGCTGCCGTCCCCCGCGTCGCCGTCCCCGGGAGCCCTGCCGGCTGCCGGCACGGCACCAGACTGAGCCATGGTGAGGTGAGCCCCGGTCAGGCCGGGACTGGCCTGCCTGGCCCGACGGGTTCCCCGGCACCTCCGTGCCCTGCAGCCGCGCCACGGGGCAGGAACCGGCTCCTCGGCCGGACACCTCACGCCGCCCGCCCACCTCCTCCTGCCCCTTCACCCGGGGCCCGGTGACTCCTGCCTGACTCCTGCCTGACTCTGCAGCCCCGTGCCATCAGACAGCCCAGCCATCCTGCCTTCCCGTGCCCAATCCCAGCATGGGATGGTGCTGGACACTGGGGATGCTGGGGACACTGGGAACGCTGGGGATGCTGGGGACACTGGGGTCACTGGGGATGCTGGGGTCACTGGGAACGCTGGGGTCGCTGGGGACACTGGGGATGCTGGGGACACTGGGAATGCTGGGAATGCTGGGGATGCTGGGGTCACTGGGGATGCTGGGGACACTGGGGTCACTGGGGACACTGGGGTCACTGGGGATGCTGGGGTCACTGGGAATGCTGGGGATGCTAGTATCGCTGGGGATGCTGGTGTCACTGGGGATGTGGGCCATGGTGGGGCCTCAGGGTACCCTTGGCTGGGGGCCCGAGCCCCCTCTGGCCGTGGGGCTGCCCCATGCTCGCCCACTGGACCGGAGCTCTCGGCTGTGGCTGCTCCAGCTCTGTCCCGTCCCCAGGTGCCAGCCGCGGCACAGGGAGCTGCTTGGGGCTGCGCTGGCTGGTGGTGTCCCCAGCCTGGCAAGCGGGGCCTTGGCTCCGTGCCCTCTCCTGCCATGGGGGTCCCCTGGGCAGGACCCCTGGGCATCCCCCAGCTCTGGGACATGGCTGTGGGGCACGGTGCCCACCACGCCGTCCCCGGCTTAGCGCCCGGCTCTGCTCCACAGCGGGAGCCGGGCACAGCCCTCTGCCCCACAGTGCTGTGGATGGCCTGGGCGGCATGTGCGGCACGGGGTGACTCAACCCAGGTCCCGGCACTTCCCGGCTGTGTGGGCATCCCTGATTCCCACAGGAAGGTAATTTATGGTCACGGGACCGTGAGTGTGTGGGGCCCGGCTGGGAGTGGCACCACCTGCGCAGCAGCACCGGAGTCGTGCCGGGGTCCCTGCACCCCCCCTCGGCCCTCATCCGATGCAGCACTGCCCGTGGAGGGGTCAGTGCCAGCAGCCACCGCGTGCATCGACCTCGCGGCACTGGCGGGGCCGGTGGGCCTCTGCCCTGGTAGCAGGGGCAGCAGGCACTGCCCCGCGGTGCGGGCAGCGGGCATTGTTCTCTCAGGGTGATGTGGGCATCGCGCCCGCAGCGCTGGCAGCAGGCAGCAGCATTGTCCCTGCGGTGCCGGCAGGAGCGGCGGACATTGCCCTGCGGTGCAGGCGGCAGCAGCGGACGTTGCCCCGCGGTGCAGGCAGCAGCCACAGGCATTGCCCCACAGCGCTGGCAGCTTTGCCCCATCACACAGGGCACCGAGGGCCGTGTTTGCCCAGCAGCCGGCTCCGGAGGGTGCGGCGGCCGAGCCCTCCCTGCTGCCGGGTGCTGCCTGTGCCGTGCTGCCCGGCAGCTCCGTCCAGGCCCTGCCTTCGGTGGCGACCTTTGGTGGCCGGGGCGGGCGAGCGGCACCGTGCCCCGGTGCTGGTGGGGCTGCTCCTTTCCCCGAGGGCCAGGCAGTCCCCGAGCCGCCTGTGCTGGCTCCCTGCCCGTGCTGGCTTTCTGCCCGTGCCGGTTCCCTGCCCGTGCCGTCCCGCCGCTGCCGCCACCGCCTGTGCTGCTCCCCGGGGCCGTGCCACGTCCCACGTCCCCCAAGCACCCCCGGCTCACCTCCGCACCCCATGGCACTGGGGGCCATCACGATGGCACCAACGCCCCCGCCTCTCCGGAGGGGCCGGCACTGCTGCCACCGCCGTCAGCTCAAGGCCACCGTCCGCTCGGGGCCACCGCTTGCTCGGCACACCGCGGGCTCGGTGCGCTGCCGCTGCCAGCACCGGGAGCTCAACAGGTCACAAACATCCGCTCACCGCCGGGCCGGACCGGGCTTTAATTACCCACGGCCCCGGCCGTGCCCGGCTGCCATCCACCCCGGGCCGGCTGGCTGGCTGCATTCCTGTTGCGGGTGTGTGGCAAACGCCGCCCGCTGCCACCGACCCCGGCAGCCCCCGTCTCCCACCTCCGCACCGGGTCGTGCTACCAGCCACGTGCCGGAGCGCCGCGGGCTGAGGACCGTGCGGGCAGGGGTCAGGCAGCGGCGGTGGGCTGGGGAGCCGGAGGCCACCGAGCTGCTGGCACTGCACCTTGCCGCCCAGTGAACACCCACAACTGGTTCTCCCAGGGCTGTAACCCCTTGTCTGCCGCGCCCTGCGGGCGCGGCCGGGGGGCAGGCCGGGGGCCTGCCGAAGCAGGCAGGAGGCGGCTGCAGGCGGCAAGGATGAGGAGGGGAAGGTCGAGTGAGGAAGGGTCTGGGAGGGGTCACAGCCACCTCCGCCAGTGCCTCGGGGCTGAGGTACCCTGCCCGAACCCGCCACGGCGCTGCCAGATCATGGCATGATGGGGCAGGGGCCAGACCCCAGCGGGGATGATGGTGCCCGGGGCCCCCAGACCCCACAGCCCCCCCCACGTAGGACCACCTCCCCTTCTGCTTGGGGAGCCTTCACCCACGCCGCCCTCCCAGCCGCTGCCGTCGCCTTCTGGCTGTGCCGGTGCAGGGTGGGAGGGCAGCAGGGTATTTCCCCCCACTCTTTCCCCCAGCACCATCCCCGGCATCTCCCACCCCAAGGAAGGCAAACATCCCGACCCCAGCTCCATCGTGGTGGTGGCGGTGGTGCCGGCTGCACAGGGCTGTATATGGTGGGGCAGGAGCGGCTGCGGCACCTCCAGCATGAAGGCTGTGCCCCGGCTGGCCTGCACCCGTGGGACTGACCCCCCCGCCCGTCCCCTCACCTTGCACAGAATCCGGCATGGGGGTCCATGCCACCCCCCCCACCACCTACCCGGGTGCTGCCGCTTGCCCTCAACCCGAGGAGCACCAGCTCTGCCGTCACAACGTGGCCCAGCACGGCACGGCAGGTGGTTTTCCTCTGCAGCCGGTTGGCCCCCCCTGCTCCATTTCCTGCCGCCACTTCCCCTTCCCGTCGCCGGCACCCAACTGCCCCGCGGCCGCAGGCAGGAAGGGGGTTTCTTCCCTCCACCCCCCCAGTACCCTTACCCGGGCACTCCGCTGGCACCCCGGCACACCCCGGCACGAGGGTCCCAGCCGGCCATGGTGAGACCCCCGCCGAGGCCCTGACCCGGCCGCACCGTGGGGCAGCCCCCCGGTCCTCGGGGATCCCCCTGCCGCGGCACCACAGACATCCCAGTTGCTGATTCCCGACTCTTGCTTCCGCATCCGACCGGCTTCCCCTGCCCACAACCAAAAGGAAAAGGACCGCAGCCTTGACCGCAGTGTGACCTCCTCCACCCCGGCACGGCTGCCTGCACTTGCTGTTTGCAGTCCTGCTGGATTGCTGCCTGCACCCCAGTGTTGCTGCCTGCACCCCAGCACTGCTGCCTGCATCCTGGCACTGCTGCCTGCACCCCAGCACTGCTGCCAGTCACGGGGGTGTCCCTGAGCAGGAGCAGCAGCAGTGACAGTGGCACTTACGATGCCCACGGTGCCGGCCGGAGTTCCCAGATAAGGGTGAGGGCACCGGAACAGGTTTATTGCACAGTGCGGGGCTCCGACTGACAGCGGCACGGCCGGTGCGGGGGCCAGTGCCAGTGCCGGTGCAGGAGCCGGCCCAACCGCTCACCAGAGGAAGAGGGGCTGCCCATCCTCCTGTGCCAGCTCCTGCAGGCACTCGAGCAGCACCAACGCGTCCGGCTGCACTGCCGGCGGCACCGTCTCGGTCACCACATGGCGCAGGAAGGCCAGGCTGTGGCGGGTGCAGGTGTCGGGGCCGGCCGGCTCTGGCAGGATGCCGTAGGTGTTGACGAGGGACTCGGCAAAGGCCGGGTGCACCGTGGGGCTGTAGCCCAGTGCCCGCAGACGTCCCATCAGGCTGACGTAGCGCCGGGCCGCGGCGGTGCAGCACTGCTCGTCAAAGCCCCCTGGCACGGTGCCGAGGGCAGTCTGCAGGGAGAGATGGGGCAGGGTCAGCCCACCGGCACCCATGGGTGCCTGAGAGGAAGGGGACCAGGGCATGCTGGGCTGTGGCCGCAGGCATTGTGCCCGGCTCCCTGGTTCGGCTGTGCCAGCCTACCGCCATGATCTTCTCGGGGATGTTGGTGACGGTGAAGCCGTAGAGGCGGGTACGGTCGGGGAAGACACTGGCGAGGATGCGGCGGTCCAGCTGGAAGGCGATCTCGCCCACCAGCTGCTCCCACGCCGGCTGCTGGCCATCTGCAGGAGCCACCGACGGGTGCTTACCCCTGTCCTGGGACAGACCCTGTGCTGCCGTCCCGGTGACCTCTCCCCATGCCCCCCCGACCTCTCCCTGTGCCCCCCACCACCCCGGGGGACCAGGCCAGCCCTTGCTGCTGCTGCCTGGTGCCAGGGGTCCCTGCAGGGGGGTTGCAAAAGCCAGCGCGCCGGTTTTGCAGGGCAGAAAAACCCCTGTGCCAGCTTTGCAGGATGGAAAACCCACGTGCCAGCTCTGCCCACGCAGGGCTGCCATGTGCCAACTTTGCAGGGCAGAAAAGCCGGCATGCCGGTTTTGCCCGCGCAGAGGCTAACGGTGCCACGGCATCCCCGGGAGCTGTTGCTCCCCGGCTTTCCTGCATGTCCCCCAGCACAGGGTGGCCAGAACTACTCTCCTGGGACCTCACCATCCTCCCCAGCCATGGAGCCGGAACCAGTGCTGTGCCCCAGTCCTCACCTCGCAGGCTGGAACTCTGCGGCGGATCCCGGCTGGAGGCGAGCCGGTCAGCATCGCGGGCCACCTTCCACCAGGTCACCTTGCGCCGGGTGTCCGGCAGCCGCAGGTCCAGTGGCTGCTGCTCCTCCGGGGACGGGGGCGGTGGGAGTGGGGATGGGGGGGCCCTGGCCCCCGATCCCTGCAGGTCTGACAGCCGCAGGCTGGGGCCACTCGGCTCCGGTGCCAGGGGGTCCCGTGGCGGTTCGGGGGGCGGCCGGTGGCTGGGGGGGTGGCTGGCAGAGCCGAAGCGGTTGAGGGGGCAGGAGAGGCAGTGGCTGTTGGGGCTGGGGCTGCCCAGCACGGTCACTGGGAGGGCTGCCAGGACAAGGACAGCGGTCTCAGTCCCCGCAGCCCCAGGGGGCCCTGCACTGTACCCCCCCCCGCACCCCCCCGCCGCGCTGGCCTTGGCTCCAGAAATGCTCACAGGGAGGTACGAGGCAACACCAGAGGGACTGGGATGGGATGGGAATGGGAAGGAGATGAGGATGGGGATGGGATGGGGATGGAGATGGGATGGAATGGGGATTGGGATGGTGATGGAGACATGGATGGGATGGGGATGGGGACTGGGATGAGATGGGGATGGAGACACGGATGGGAATGGGGATTGGGATGGGATGGGATTCAGCCCACCACCCCTCCTCCCAGGAGCTTTGGGGTCACACTACCCCCAGACCCCCTCCCCCAAATACTTCTGCTCCCGGTGGCAGGTGAAAGCATCCCAGTGCTGATGTCGGTGCCAATGTCGGTGCCGCTCGGCATGGGCAGTGGTGTGGGCAGCGTGCCATCCTGGGGCTGCTGGTCCCAGAGGGGTTCCCAGGGGGGGATCTGGAAGATCAGGCTCTGCTCCAGGGGTGCCAGCTCCCAGTCCGGGACGTTGGCTGTGGGAGGAGGTGGGGGGGTGTTTGCAGCCATGGCACCCAGTGGCCCGGGACCACCGTGGGACCACCCGTACCCCCACCTGGGCTGGGGAAGGTGAAGCCTCCTCTGCTGGAGCGGGGCACAGCGGCGAGGGGGGGTGCCGAGCTGGGTGCCGTGCCGGGTGCCGTGCCGGGCTGGCCGTGCAGGAGGTGCCGCAGGTGCCGCTGCTCCTTGAGCCGCCCCACCGCCCGCGTCAGCTCCTCGTTCTCTGCCAGCAGCGCCTGGATCTCGCGCCGCAGCTGGTCGTAGCAGGCGAAGACCGAGAGCCCTGCGCGTTGGGGGCGGCCACGGGGCACCGGCTCCATGGCAGCCCCCTGGCACCGGACTGTGCCGCTCACGCCACCCCGTGACCCGTGCCGGGTGGCAGCGCCAGGGCCAGGGGCATGGGAAGGCCCCTGGCTCACCACAGGACACCGGGAGCAGCCCGGGCATCAATGGCGGGTGCCGGGGAGAGCCGGTTCCGAGGGGATGTCACAGAGGGATGGTCCCCTCCCAGCCCCCCCATCATACAGCTGCAGGACTCGGCCCTCCCTGGCACCATGGTGCTCTGTCCCGGCAGGCACCCATTCGACCGCCGCGAGGACGGTACGGCGGGCACCCTACGGCAGAGAGGCGTGGGGGGAGCCGCGGGTGAGGGTAGGGCAGCGGGTGGGCAGGACAGGAGGGCTGCACCCCCTTTCCTGCTGGATTTTGGCCACGCTGGGGGTGCTCTGCGTGCCACGTTCCAGCCACGCTCAGAGACGATGGCCAGTGTCGCCTGCTCCTGGGCTGTTGTGGCAGTGCCGCCAGGCACAGGGTGATCCCTGTGTGCCACGGGGGATGCGCGGTGGGGGCTCCACCTCCATCCCCCTTCTTCTGTGGTCGCAGGATCCCCCCAGCACCAGCCCGCTGGGCAGCTGGGGCCATGCTGCGGTGGGTGCCGGGCCAGCGGCACGCTGGTGCACGAGGGGCAGCTATGGGGGGCCTGGCCCAGCCCCTCCTGTTGCTGGGACCCCCGGGACGGCTGCACCCTGCCGTACCCCTGCCACCCCAGGTGGCCGAGCGGGCCCGGTGCGCCGGCATGCTCTGTGGACAGCCTGACCAGCACCATCTTCTCTGTGGCCATCTCGTCCGCCGGCACTGCCAGTCCACCAGCACCGTGCTGCCCCGGCACTGAGGGGCCTGTGGAGGAGACCCTCAGCGCCATGCTGGCATCCTGCCGGCTCAGCGCCGAGGCGGCCATCGACCGCCGCTCCTTCATCGCCAGCGGCCTGGCCTCCCAGCTGCTGGAGGAGCTCCTGAGCCAGCAGCTGCCAGGGACCGAGCCGGGGCCGGCTGAGGGCTCTGAGAAGCAGTGCCGCACCGCTGCCGCCTCCTCCTCCTCCCTGGAGAGGCTGCGCCGGCACGACCGCCGCTTCCAGCGGGCCAAGGAGCACTTCCAGAAGCAGGGCTGGGCGCCAGCCGCCAACACAGACCAGGACACCGCGGTGATGCCGTGCCATGGGCAGCCCCAGGAGAACCAGGGCCAGGTGCGCTGGGGCCAGGGAAGCACAGTGCAGCCATGCCGCGAGGCCCGCGGGCACCTCTTCTGTGGTGCAGCCTGGCACGCTGCCCACGGCTGCTGCGCCCGGGTGGAGATGGTGAACAGCACCTGCCCATGGGACAGGGACCTGGGCACCATCTCCCACACCTCCCACAAGCCCCACGGTGAGCGCGGCCACGGCCGTGGTCCCGCCGGCCAGCCCCCTCTGTCCTACCCCGGCACCTGGGCACCGGTTTGGAGAGAGCCCCAGCAGCGCCCAGAGAAGTGCTGGGGCTCCCCGTGGGACACGCCAGCTGGCCGGCCTGCCCATGGCACCGCAAGCATCCCCGGGGATGGCCAGCCCTCCTGCACCAGCACCGCCTGTGCCATGCTGAGCCCAGAGCCACAGCACTGCTGGGGAGCCGCCGGCTCCATGCCCAGGGCGGGCAGGGAGCCCTGCCGGGAGCCAGAGCCCACCCAGCAGCCCCGTGCCCAGCAGGTAGGCATCAGCGTGCCGGCCCGGTGCAGACCCATGTGTGGCCAGGCACAACTCTCGCCCTCCGGCACAGGAGCCCCTTGCCGCGCCACCAGCTCCCTGCCTCTTCTCTCCCAGCTGCAGGGCCCCGCCGGGATGCTGCGCTACCGCGATGGGGAGCCGGCACATGGCTGCGGCTCAGTGCCAGGCTGCCCACCGGGCCCACGGAGCCGGGGCGGCAGCAGGAAGGAGCTGCGCTCCCAGGAGCGAGCGGGACAGCGGGACGTGACCCAGAGCCACCACGGCCGCCGTGAGCAGGAGGAGATGCTGGTGCCGGAGAGCTGGAGCCGGGGGCAGGAGCGGGGCAGGGAGCCCGGTACTCCCAGCAGGCAGCAGCAGGAGGACGGCAGGCAGCGGCCCCCCACCCCAGACAGAGAGGGGTCCCTGGAGTGGGACCCCAGCACCTGCCCAGGCACCACGAACATGGTGCGGTTCATCGCTAGGTCCTTCGAGCTCAGGGCCCAGCAAGACGTGGCACGAGCCGAGAGGGAGCGGCAGGCCTGGCACTGCCGGGGAGCCAGGACTGCCGACAGCCCCCCTGGCTGCTCGGGGGGTGACCCTCGGGCCCAGAGCTGGCTGGTGGCAGAGGCTGTGGAGTGTGGCACAGCCGGGGCGCAGGCAGCGGCCCAGCCCTACCAGGGCGGCAAAGCTGGGGGCCGTGATGGCAAGGAGGGCAGGCAGCGTGGCAGACACAGCCAAGCTCCCTGGTGCTGAATAAAGCCCTGCCGGTGACTGACCCCCGAGTGCCATGTGCTGCTGTGGCTGGAACGCCCCAGGGAGACGGGGAGATGGGTGACATGGGTCCCCAGCCCTTAAAGCCTGCAGCACCTTCAGCGGGTGCTTCTCCACCCTGGCTGCTGCTGCACCTCCAGGAGCAGCCAGGGACTGCAGGCAGGGAGTGGGAGAGAGGGGGGGGCGTCAGGGGCAGCCCCAGGCAGGGTGCAGGCAGGCCTGCCTGCCCATCCAAGGACAGGGTGCTCAGTACATTTAGTCTTTATTGGGGGGCCTGGGGTGCAGTGGGCGGGAGGGCAGGGAGAGGCCCGGGGACAACCCTGTCCCTAGAGGGTCCCTGCAGCTCCCAGAGAGCAGGACGGGGGAGTGGGGGGTCCTGCTTGCAGCAGGGGGCCGGCAGCCCCGGGCTTGGCCATGCCAGCCCCTGCCAGCATCGGCGGGGAAAGGAGAGCCAGAGCTGGCAGAGATGAACTAGACCAAGGTTTATTAACAGCGGGAGCTGGAGCCACAGAACGGTGCAAGAACGGAGCCTTGGCCACACGGGGAGGGGGCCAGGACCAGGGCCGGGACCCCCCCCCTCCGCTGCCTGGGCAGGGACGGGCAGGGACAGCAGCTCAGGCCCTGGGAGGGGGCCAGGTCCCCACAGGGATGCTCTGCAGTGACCAGTGCCCAGCTCGGGGACCCCCCCCACCCGCTTGGGTGGCGGGACCCTGCCCGCAGCCCTGTCTGCAGCCTGAGGAAGGGCTGGGGAGCCGGAGGGGGGGGCCCGCTGGCGCTGACCTTGCCTGTGTGGCCAAGGGGGGCGGCGAGGGCAGCGCGTGCGCAGGGGGAGCGGGACGGAGGGGGTGAGCTCCACCACGGATGGGGGGAGAAAGTGCTTCCAGTCCGCGTTCAACACAAGGTGGGGGGAAAAGCCGTATTCACAGCGGGGAGGGGGGAAGCAGAGGGCCTGGGCAGGGGGCTTCTAGGGGGGACAAGAGGGGCAGCAGGCGGCTGCGACACCCCAGCAGGCAGGCAGGCACGGGCAAGCGCCTTGCCTCCCAGCAAGGGGACAGAACTGTCACCCCGTGCCCCCTCCCCAGCCCAGCGAGCCCCCACAGCCACTCCTGTCAGGAGCTGGGGAGGTGGCTGGGGTCAAAGAAACTCTTAACGGGAGAACTGACGAGGGGGTGCGATGAGAACACCAAACAAAACCGGCTACAGGGGCGGAGGGGGAGACCACAAACCGGGACACGTGCCGGGGGGTGGCAGGGGGGCCACGGCGGCGGTGGTGGGGCCGCTACTCCTTGGCCCTGCCGATGATGGCCAGGATGTAGAGGAAGATGTTGATGATGTCTGTGTAGAGGTTGAGGGCAGCGAAGACATACTCCTCGGGGCTGAGTGCCAGCTGCTTGTTCCCCAGGATCATCTGCGTGTCCACCGCCAGGAACTGCGGGAGAGGGGATGTCATGGTGGGGAGACACGGAGCCTGGCAGAGGTTGGGGGGGAGGCCAGCAGCACCCCACAGCCCCCACAACCAAGCAGCTGCCCCACAAGCGGGTCCCTTGCCCCCCTGTCCCGCCAGCTGGGCCTGGGTCCTGTGCCCCCAACCCACAGCCTGAACCCCCAGGGATCTGGCAGATGGTTCAACCCCCCGCCCCCGGGGAAGGGGCAGCAGCAGGAGGCAGAGGAGGACGGGGCCCCCCCCGGCACTTACGCAGGTGAAGAGCAGGGCCCCCAGGGAAGCATAGATGATGTCCATGATGCGGTTCCGGATGAAGATGCAGAGGATAGAGAAGATGATGAGGACGACGAGGCAGATGATGAGCACGCCCCGGCAGGAGGTGAAGTCATACTTGGTCTGTGGGACAGGGGAGAGCGAGCAGGGAGCTGGTTCTATGCCTGGTTCAGAGGCCCCCAGCCCCAGCAGGGAGCCTGGGGGCGGGGGGGTGTCACCCAGCCACCTGCCCACCCACCCCGGGAGCTGACCTGCAGGGAGAAGATGACAACGCTGAAGCAGACAACGACGGTGATGCCCACGGCCATGATGACGGCATCAGTGTTGTAGAAGCTGGCGATCATCCCCACCATGTAGGACAGGCTGACGGTCAGGATGGACTGGGGAACAGACGGGCACCACATCACACCGGCTCGGCTGCCCCACCCCTCTCCTTTGCCACCCACCGCCGGGTCCAGCCGGGCCTGGTGACACCGCACCTCCGCAGCACCCAATGCCCTTTGCATAAAGCTCTCGGCTTTGCCAAGTCCCGAGCAGGCTCTGCTCTCACCAGGCCAGGCAGTCGCCCCCTCTGCACCCCCCAAACCCGCCCAGCCATGTCCCCCGTCCCTCCCTGTCCCCACAGCCATCCCCTGGGCAGCCTGTGGGACCTCGGGCATCCCCAGGGTCATGGGGCGCAGGGCTGCCAAAGCCACGGCCAAGACCACCGCTGCCCTGGCATGGCACATACCAGAGCTACCAGGTTCCAGGGGTGCTTGCGACGGAAATCCCCACAGCAGCTGAGGACGATGAGGGAGATGAAGAAGACGGCATAGGAGACGTAGTACGTCCAGACATTGCGCTGCACGAAGCCCTTCACACCTTTCACAAAGGTGAAGATGGCCACAAAGGCGAAGGTGACGGTCAGCTGCAGGGTCAGCACCAGGAAGACCTGGGGGATGGGGACAGGTCACAGTGGGGTGCCCAAAACCCCTGCCCCCATGAAGTGCCCCTAGCCAAGTCCCACCTTGCGGATGAAGGCCTGCCGGATGCTCTTGTCATCCCAGTGCGCGGTGGGGAAGTCCTGGTTGTCATAGTAGGAGGGTGGCCCGTCCTCATGGTAGGTGCTGTGCAGGGGGGCTGCAGGGAGAGGAATGGGGCACGGGTGAAGGGAGCCAGGAGCGGGGGGGCTGCCTGCACCGCTGCGCCGTGCCGATTCCCTGTCCTAGGGCCTGCCTGCCCCTGCCCACCAGGGTGGCCGCTCACCGACTCGGATGACCATGATGCCCGGCCTCCACGGCCAGCGGTGTGGCCCGGCTCCAGCTGGCAGCGGCAAGGGAAGAGGAAAGATGGGGCTGAGGGGGTCTGGGGGGCGTCAGAGGCCAGGGGGAGCAGAGCTCTGTGCCCCCCCAAGCCGGGCTTCACGCTGGCATCCCCATCGAGCTGACAGCTCCAGGTAGTGTCCCCCCATCCCGGCGCCACGGCTGGCACCCTCCTCTGGCTGGCAGGGGCACCCCAGGGCCAGGCTTGTCTGTGGGGGCTTGTGGGGCAGGATCCCTTCCCCTGGGGGTCCCCGCAGCCCCGCTACCAGCCAGACCCCCCCCCTTGCCCACCCGCACCAGCCACACGGCCGGACCTGCTTCTGCCCGGCCAAAATGGGGCCAGTGCTACCAAAATGGGGCACTGGACACCCCCCCCACCTCCCAGGGCTGTCATCAGCGTCCACTGCGGGGGGCAACCCCCTCCTCGCCTGCACCCCAAAACCAGCCCCCCCCCCCATGGAGCACCGTTACTTACAGTCTTGGTCCCCAGGGACCATGGGCTGCGGCTGGGCATAGGGTGGCTGGGCGTAGGGACCCTGGGGGTATGGTCCCGGGGGGGGGTACGGTCCGGGGGGATATGGCCCCGTAGGTGGGTACGG